CACACACACACACACACACACACACACACACGCTGGAAGCAGAGCTGTGGCTCAAGCAGAAGAGCAAAAATGCTCAGGGACAATGCTCAGGTGCTGAGTTCACAGCCCAGGACAGGCACAAAACAAAACAAGAGGGCTGGGAAGGGCTCCGTGGTAGAGCGTTTGCCTCACATGCATGAGGCCCTGGGTTCGATTCCTCAGCACCACATAAGCAGAAAAAAAGCTAGAAGTGGCGCTGTGGCTCAAGTGGTAGAGCGCTAGCCTTGAGCTGAAGAGCTGAGGGACAGCGCCCAGGCCCAAAGTTCAGGCCCCACAACTGGACCCCCCCCAAAAAAAACACAGAACAAACAAAAAAAAAAACAAGACACCTGCAGTTGCTCCAGGAAAAGTTCTTCCTCTGGCTCCCATACAAAGTGCTGCTCCTAGTCCAGTCCCTCCCTAAACCCCCACTGCCCAGTAACCTCCACTTCCACCCAGTGATCTTCACTACCATCATCACCACCCAGTGACCTCCATCACCACCCCCACCCAGTGATCTCCATCACCACCATCACCCAGTGACCTCCATCACCACCATCACCCAGTGACCTCCATCACCACCACCCAGTGACCTCCACCACCCAGTGATCTCCATCACCACCCCCACCCAGTGACCTCCATCACCACCACCACCCAGTGACCTACACCACCACCACCCAGTGATCTCCATCACCACCCCCACACAGTGACCTCCACCACCACCACCACACAGTGACCTCCATCACCATAGTGACCTCCACCACCATCACCCAGTGACCTCCATCACCACCCCCACCCAGTGACCTCCATCACCACCCCCACCCAGTGACCTCCATCACCACCATCACCCAGTGACCTCCATCAAGACCACCACCCAGTGACCTCCATCACCAACACCACCCAGTGACCTCCATCACCCCCACCCAGTGACCTCCACCACCACCACCCAGTGACCTCCATCACCATAGTGACCTCCACCACCATCACCCAGTGACCTCCATCACCACCACCCAGTGACCTCCATCACCCCCACCCAGTGACCTCCATCACCACCATCACCCAGTGACCTCCATCACCCCCACCCAGTGACCTCCATCACC